CATTTGGTTCATCTCTAAGCTAGCCTCCATACTCTAAAAACCCTAGATCGACCCTTTTAGCCTCTTGATGGTGTTCTTGAGCTCTTAGAAGGTTTTTGGTACACATTTTTCCCTTGGGAAGGAAATAAGAGAAGCTTGAAGTTGTTTTGCTTGGTGGAAAGGCTTTGGATCTAGAATCATCATCTTGTGGGGAAGCTTTTTGAGGTAACAAGTTTGCATCTTGGCTTGTGTATGATTAGATCTCTTCATGGCTGGTTTATTATAATTTTGGTCTTCTTTTTGGGTTTATGGATGAGTTAGGTTGCTTATGGGTTTGCCTTTTCAGATCTGAGTTTGTTTTGGTATCATTAAGTATAAAGGTGCAAGATTTATATGTATGTTGGTATCATGCATGCATTAAGTCAACCATTAAGTCCCTTTTAAGCTTAAGAGCTTCTAGCCATGTATGAACGTAAAGTTGGCAACTTTACGTGGTATTCCAGTTCAAAGAAGTCAGATCTGTGTTTTGGAGCGTTGTCTTATTGGATTAAGTGAAAAATCAAGTTTGGGTTGAATAGGGTGAGTACGCTGGGCGTACACGCAGGTACGCTTAGCGTACAAGCCTCCAAGCGAGTACGCTGCACGTACGTGCCTGTACGCCCTGCGTACTCGGTCTGAATGGGCTTTGTGTGTTTGGGCTATCTTATGGGCTTGGGTTGCTTGGGGCTTTGTAGGGGCGTCTGTAAATAAGTGTTTGGATTGGGAAAAATTTATGGGCTTTAGGGTAAGGCCCATGTAAAGGTTTGGGCCCAATTTAGAAAATTGGGCCATAAGTGGGCTTTGGATGATTGGGAATATAAAAACATTTAGTTTCTTCATCTATAAAATAACAATAACGACCTACAAACCAAAAGATTTGGAGTTGGATTCCAGATTAATTTGGGAGACCAAATTTTGTTTTTAGTATAAAGTCGTATAGTTGCGGTTTGGGTTTAAAAAAAATCAAATCGTATTGGTTAAAACCGAAAACCAAAAAACCGTAACCAACTGGTTTGATGTGGTTTCGGTTTTAAAATCAAAAAACCGACATATACAGTTTTTGGTTCTATCATACCGCATCATGTTCACCCCTAACAATAAAATGTTAGGTATCATCCCTAATAAATAAAAATAATTTTGCCACTTGTCATCCTTTTATTCATCATGCAACATGTTATTTTGTGGTAAATTTAGGTTAAATTATATCTATGTATCATTTTGTGGGTTTTTTTTCCATTTTATTAAATTTCATATAATACTTAAATTTAATAAATATAATAATAAATATATATCTAATATATTAATGCAACTTTTCTTATAATTTATGAATTTCTAAATTGAATCTAATTATTTTAGTTGTTTATTTATTTAAATTATTAGTTTAAATTTAAAAGATAAATAAACACTTCAATTTTAACTAGAGGGGAATTAGTTGCGCCTTTGGCGCTGTGTTTGTTTTTTTTCCTTATTTCAACTTGTACCAAATGGTACCTTCTTCCCTTTCTTCCCCCTTATATTGAATAAGTTACCAGATTCGTTTACGAAAACGTAATTGAGTGAATTGTTAAAACAATAACATTCAGTGGAACTCTGAAATTGAAGAGCTACAATAGAGTAATCAATTACTATTGATTTATATGAGAATTGGTTCCTATAAGATAAGCATCATGTTTGATAATTATACACCCTTTCGGAATTGTTGTAGTCATTGAAATAACAGATTCCACACACCTAGTAATAGAAATTTAGAATACTTGTTCATTCAGCAAAAGGACTTGAGAATTCGGAGTGTATGTTCACCTGTAAGAACCATTACCTCAGAATCATCATAAGCCTACAATCTTTGCATAACTTGCATTAGCACATCAGCAACAAAACCTCTAAATAGCAAAACTCTTTCAAATAAACAAATTTTCAAGTTTCAAAAAAGAAATCATGTCCACGAAAAACTGGGGAGTTGAAACAATTGGCAAATGGTGGATGAATCAGTAACCGTTTAAGCAAAAAACAAACCTATTGAACTTCAGATCGACTTAAATTGGTGACCTTAGACTCTCCAATTCCGAGAAACCCAACACAAACCGGAACAAACCTACAAAAAAATCCCAAAAAATCATATTGTCATAGATTTGTGAATCGGTATTCTACAGGAGCAATTTCACTGAAAGCCTGAGATTTATACAATAATGGAAGAGATCAGTATTAACCTTTAAAAATTAATTAATTTTATAAAAGTAAAGCATAAAGTGAATGGTAGCTAACCTGAGTTTGAACTGATTCGATTAACTCAACTTGGCACCTAATAGCATACACACTTTTTAGTTTAGGATCATCTGAAATTATAATAAATTCAAAAAAATTCAAAAATTTATTCGTGTGTGTGTATGAGAAAGGGTAAATTCGTAATTTATATAACTATTAAACCTGAGGCCCCTTTGTGAATAGTTTCTGCTGTTTTTTTATTTTATTATTATTTTTTTTATTTTCTGCTTTGGTTTGGACCACATCTATCTTAATTTTCAAGTGAATGAATAATGTCAATATGAAAATGTCCATTTTGACCTTCTGTCTAAAAGGGATGCTAAACAATAACTCACTGTTTATATAAGTCTCATAAGAAAGTTGTATTGCTCCTTACTCATAAGAAACATAGCATGAGAGACATACATTTATCTGAATTTGTATGTCAGAATTCAGATAACTACAATGCTTCATTTTTTTTGTCCATAGCTGTAAGCTTGTTATAGGAGGATAAACATTGGTGGAGGGTCTTGGGTTTTAGAGCTTTAGATGGATATGTACATTCAAAGAAGAGCAATAAAAATAACTCTAATTTTTGCATGTGATTCGAATCCTAATCACAAATTAAATGAATCTAGAGTCATTTTTTTAAAGCGTGAAAGCTCTGTTTGTACCATTGCTCATAATGATGACAAATAACTTCCTTCTTATGTTACTGAACTCAAAAAAATGATTCTGATTATGTTCACCATGTGCATAGTAACAATTCAAACCTTCAACATTTTCAACCTACATAAAAGGATTTTAACATAAGCAAGAATATCGAAAGTAATAAAAAAGGAACATGAAAAGAGGTCAAACTTTTACGTCCTCATGTGCCTCTCCAAGGGCTTTCCCGTCTTTCTTTCTCCTCCAACTATGACCATCTTTACAAAAAAACCCTCAGGACCTTGCTGTCAAAGAGAAACAAATAGCCACCTATATAAGCATGTAATCAATAAGGTAACCACAAAATATCAGTTTTAATACTTAGCAAGAAAGTGTAATAAAATGATATTTGATATGCTTTTCGAGGTTTCCAATACTTCAGAGCATAAATGTATGTGAATCATCATCAAATTTGATGCTCACTTTGTTTCATGGATTTCTTTTTTCATTTTTCTTTTGTGGTAAAAGAGTTTGCATTTGAGGTTAGATATTTAACAAATCTTAGAGCTGAAACCAATGTTTTCAAAATTTGGTGTGTGGATGAAAAAGGGTAAATTCGTAATTATTACTTGAAAAATGACCTTTCTTTCATATGTGCTGGAGCATGAAAGCACTTGTTTGTAGGTTGGAAAAGAAAGAGATATCTGAGAGTTTTCTACCACAACCCCTTCAATAAACCATTTTGCCCAAAAAGCTAACAGAAACACAACGCATAAGTTTTGGTCCTTCAAAACGATGAACTGCAAGAAGCAAAACAACCCATTAACCATTAACCATCTTCCTTCCTAAAAAGGAAAATCGAAGAAATGCAAGAGGGAGAAGCAAGAGAGATACCTGAAACGAAAGGGCAGCCACACAAATAGAAGATGTTCTTACCTGAATACTGAAAATCGGAAATTGAGCCTTGAAATAAAAAATCGAAGCCTGATTAAAAACTTTCATAAAAAATTGAGGCGTTGAATTAAAAAAATCACGCAATTGGAAGATGCTCTTACCTAAGTAACAGTAGTGTTATCTTCTCCTTCCAACTAATCTTTCTTAAACTGGAAATCAGGGTCGAATGAAATCGGTGGTAGTAGAAGTCCAACAACGTCTTACCATGTCTGGAAAGAAATCACCAGAAGTTTGAAAAACTGAAAATCATAAAAACGCCTAACAAACCACTATCAAAAGTATCAAACCTTCTGTTGTAAAGAATAGAATATGCGAAAGAGAAAACGGAAACCTTGGACGTGAAATTGAAGTTTGTGGAGAGCAAATGAAACCAGTGTAGATATTGGAGATACGTTGGGTTTGTGAGAACTGGTGGTTGATGTCTGGATTTAGGGGTACAGAGGGAGCGAGAGTATGTTCGAGGTCGGAATAGAAGCAACCGGGAAGCCTCTCGATATCTCCCTCTTTGATCTCATCGACCAACTCCGTCTTCTGGTCGAGGTTTGAAGTAGAAAACCATCTTCGCTCTGTCGGTTCTCCACAAAGGAGACTCTTTTCTACATCTGAGAGGGAACATCGGAGGAAGGCGGTGGCTGAGACTGGTGGTGGCGATGACGTTGAATCGTCGACGTCACAAGCTTTGGCGCGGTGATGGGAGATTAAGGGGTAGGGGAAGGATATAGAAGATTCTTTGAATGTAACATCGGAGTTTTTTTTTTGTTGAAAAAGAGGACGTAGGTGAAAGGCGGTGGCGGTCTGATTGGTTAAAGAAGGCGGTACGGGTCATCGAAAGATTTTCCAATGGTCATAGGATAAGATGGAAAGGAAAAATGGGGCGCTTTTATGAAAAGGAAAAGTTGAGTGGAAGAAAAAGAAAGAGAAAAAAGATTCCTATAGCCCAAGTTTTTAAGCTTTTATGTATATATAAATAATGAATATTTTAGCCTTTTTTTCTTGTAAATTAAAATTTTTTAATTGTTTTTTTTTTAAATAAATATAATATAATATAACAACTTAAATAAATATTATATTTAACCCTAAAGATATATTTCGTCCTTTTTCAAAATACGACAGGGCTTCCAATTTAACCTCTCTAGTCTCTTCAATTAATAATCTGGACCCACAGGCTTCCAATTAACCTCTCCGTCTCTTCAATTTCAAGATCTCCATCTCATAAAACCCTAACTCAGCTTCAATTGATCTACCGAAATTACTGGTAAATTGTCTCATTTCATACCCATTTCTTACTACATATTGTCGTAAACAATCATTGCATCTTAAAATCGATATACTGGATGTGGTTTAGTATATGTTAAATTTAGTAGTTTGACTTTTGTTCAAAAACGGTGTAGAATTTAGCGATCGGGGACCTATTTGCTGCGATCAGTGGAATTGATCAGTTGAAGTAATCGAGTGATCCGGTTGAATACCTTTTGAAGCTCTCTTCAAGACTTTAGCTTTTATACAAAGCTTTGATTCCGGTAGTATGCTTCACGTACCTACGACGATTGAGGATCAGTTAATTCTGAGAGCAATCAAGGAAGAATGTTCGTGGGAGGGTCTCCCTAAGCGTCTCCAGTCGACTCTAAACTCCAAGGATGAATGGCATAGAAGGTAAGTTTGCTAACTGCCATTAGCTTCTTCTGCGTCTGCGCTTTGGTGTTCTTCGTATTAGCTAAATTGCATCTGAAACTTGCATACTCGATGCGTAATTTGGAAATGCAGTCATCATGAATTCATCCTTTTCTGCTGCTTTTGATTTGTACTAGTAGATCAACCTCGTATTGATCAGGACATACCTCATTTGTTCCGCGTTTACAGTCAGTTCAGCTTGAAGCAACTGCTAAAAGCCTAAAAAAACTCAGATTTATAGTAAAATTGACACAATCCTTAATTTTCTAATTCACAAGAAGACATACATAATACATTTAGCTTTTGAAACTTTAGAAAGAGGATTGCAGCCCTTTAAGTGGTATTTTCTAAATCTCTTTGGGATAACACTCGGGTATGAATATGATAACAAAAAATTAGGGAAAAAGACAGATCTGACATGAATATCAAGTAAACTTACTATTATACAATCAGCAACACTTGAAGCATTGATATCAATTCACTGTTGCAGGATAACTGAACATTGCATTAAGAAAAGGCTCCAATGGAACACATCTTTTGTACGCAAAGTATGCAGAGAAGCAGAATATTACGAGGATATGATGCGGTATCTTCGAAGGAATTTAGCAGTATGCACTAAAGATTCTTGTTTTCATTTATAGTCTTCATGTTACCCATGATCCTTTAAAATGAATGAAGTGTTTTAATTGAAACTCAAACACTTTGATCTTTTTCTTTTGGTTTTGCAGCTGTTTCCTTATCACCTAGCGGATTATGTTTGTCGTGTAATGAGGATTTCTCCATTCAGATACTATTGTGATATGATATTTGAAGTCATGAAAAATGGTACTATGTTGTTAATGTTATAATAGGAATCATCTTTAGTCAAAGATTGGAAACCTTTCATTTTATTTAAAAAAAAAAGAATCTTATTTTTTATTATCTGCAGAGCAACCTTACGATAGCATTCCAAATTTTAGCGCAGCAGATGCCCTTCGACTCACTGGTATAGGAAGAAATGAATTCATTGATATCATGAACAAATGTAGATCCAAGGTATAAACATGATTCAATGTGTTGTTGGTGAAATTACATAAATACCCTTTCATCTACTTATACATTAAAATTTGGAGCTTTCCAGAAAATCATGTGGAAGCTGAACAAGTCCATTGCTAAGGAATCATTGCCCACATATCCTGTAGACTTTGCAATTGAACCATGGTGGGGAGTTTGTCTTGTCAACTTTACATTGGAGGAATTTAAGGTCAGATTCTTGATAGATATTTTTATCATAAGTCAATTTGTTATTAATTTTCTTTTTTGGTCCATATTTCACTGTTTCATAACGCTTTTAGTCCCTATGCTGTTATCTAGACATTAATTTCTCCATCTACTTCATCTTTTGGGATTGGAATCTTACTAAGATGAAGAAGAGGGGGGCGAAACAGTCATTTTACATGACTTCCTAATTCCTTCTCTATCATGCAGAAACTTTCAGAAGAAGAATCAGCAACAATCGACAAGATATGTAAAGAGGAAGCAAATGCATTCATACTTTTTGATCCTTCTGTCATCAAGGGTCTTTACAGACGAGGGCTAATTTACTTTGATGTCCCTGTTTATGCTGATGATCGCTTTAAAGGTGGGATTATAAACAAGTTTTTTTAATATCATAATTTTTTTTACCAGTAATCGTTGTATTTAAAGTAAAAAATGTAAGCATTTTACAATTTCCAGTTGTTTTCATGTTATTCTGTTTTTGAACTTTGAATGATGTGTTTAGTGTTTCAGTGTCTAGGCTAGAAGGGTTTGTTTCCAACAGAGAGCAGTCATATGAAGACCCCATTGAGGAGTAAGATATTCCTCTTTACACCATGTTTGTTAGTTGTTACACGGACGAGGGCATTTTCGTCTTTTTCCACAAACAAAACATCATGAACGAGTCCCATCCCAATTTTGCACGGTAAAACAGTACAATGTGGAGGGTATTTATGTAATTTTAACCTTACTTGGCAGGTTACTGTATGCGGTTTTTGTGGTATCAAGTGAGAATTCAACTGTTGCTGAGCTGGCAACAACATTACAAGCCGAACTTTCTAAACTACAAGCTGCTGCTTCTTTTGCATGTCGATTAGGATGGGCTGTAAAGTTAGTTGACACAGGATCTATTCTTCAAGAACAAATTACAAGTGTCCTAAATGATGAAGATGATGCTTCTCTTGCTCCTGTGGGGTCCGCAAACATATCTACTGATGCTGCTTTGTTTCAACAAGATAATTTAGGGACAGAAAATCTTGGCCAAAATTCCGGTTTTGCCCGTGTTGCATTTGTAGTTGATGCCAACATAACATCGTATCTTATGATGGGGTCCGTTTCACCTGGTTAGTTTGCTCTCTTTTATTATCATACAAAATGACTATTTTGCCCTCATCTAATTTATCTCTTCTTGCAGGATTAAAATCTCATGCGGTAACACTATACGAAGCAGGAAAACTCGGCCACACCAGTATTGAAGATCTTTGCAAAGATCTAACCACATTAGAAGGTGCAAAATTTGAAGGAGAGCTTCAAGAATTTGCAAACCATGCATTTAGCCTTAAATGTGTTCTAGAATGCTTAAAATCTGGTGGACTCGCTCCTGATGAACTCGAGATTGATATTGATTCTTCAACCAATGAAGAACTTACATCCATGGTATCCGATATTTCACTAAAAGAACACAATATTGAAAATGGAAATACTGATAATTTTGAAACTAGAAAAAAAGTGAGGAAATACCGAGTTGATATTTTACGATGTGAAAGCTTAGCTAATCTTCCGGGACCCACACTCGATCGATTATATCAACGGGACTACGACATTATCGTCTCGATGGTCCCACTTCCTGTTTCTTCGTTATTACCGGGCCCGAAAGGCCCGATCCATTTCGGCCCACCTTCTCACTCCTCCATGTCACCATGGATGAATTTAGTTTTATATTCCACTATCAATAGTGGGCCCGTTTCGGTCGTTTTAATGAAAGGACAATGTCTAAGACTACTCCCGGCCCCACTAGCGGGTTGTGAAAAAGCCCTTTTATGGTCATGGGACGGGTCAACCGTTGCAGGGTTAGGATCCAAATTCGAAGGAAATTTAGTCAAAGGTAACATTCTTTTACATTGTCTAAACTCACTCCTCAAACACACTGCAATTTTAGTTCAACCCTTTAGTAAATTTGACCTAAACGAATCCGGGAAATTAACCACACTCGACATTCCACTCCCATTAAAAAATTCCGATGGTTCATTTGCGGATATCGGATCGGAATTAGGGCTTGCGGATGACGAAAGTACGAAATTGACCTTGTTGTTGTGTGATTTGGAGAAGAGGTTGTCGTTATGGACGGTGGGGTATATTCGTCTTTTGAAACTTTCTAAAGGAAACGCGAATGTTTTTACCCCCGAGTGGGTCCCGTTGTGTGTCGAGTTTGGGGTCCCGTTGTTTAGTCCGAAGCTATGCAAGTTTATTTGTAATCGGGTGGTGGTGTCTCAATTGCTTCAGACGGATTTGTTTAAAGAACATCATGATGCAATGAGGGAATTGAGAGAAAAATTGAATTCCATTTGTTTGGAGTATGAAGCAACGGGTTCGAGTGCAAAGATGCTTTATAATAATCGGGAGGCTAAAAAAAGTCAACTCATGTCGTATGCAAGTCAAAGATGGAATCCGATTACAGAACCTTCTTCTCCGATTTCGGGAACGAGTGATTATCAGAGAATAAAACTTGCTAATCGACAAAGATGTCACACAGAAATCTTGAGCTTTGATGGGCATATCTTAAGGTATGTTGTTTTTTTATTGTTGTTGGATTTTGGAATTTGGAATTTACAATGATGTTGAATGAAAACTGGTATTGCAGATCATATGCATTGGCTGAAGGATATGAAGATGCTACGAAAATGAATGAAGAGATATCTCGAATAAACAATGTTAAAGGTGACCCAGATGATAAAGACAATGGGGAAACTGTCTTGCCAGGTGTCAATCTCCTATTCGATGGATCTGAATTGCGTCCTTTTGACATTGGTGCTTGCCTTCAAGCCCGACAACCCGCAGCTTTGATTGCCGAGGCTTCAGCAGTTTCGGCTACATATTCAGCAATTAAATAAATAGGACACACAAAAGCCGAAATTGTATATACAATACAAGAGTTTTTCATTATGCTAGTGGGGGGAAATTCGTCTTTTTACCTTGTAGCTGGCTAAAAACGAGGTACTTTTCATGTAACACCGTTTTGCTTCATTTGTTACAAGCGAGGCTCATCTTTGCTCTTTTTGTGCAGAAGATGCTTCCCAGTTTGTATTAAGTGAATGAATATCGATATTTTATGTCTAGACTACAACTTTTATTGCACAAGGTACAAGTCTATACTTTTGTTTATTATTTACAAGTTGTGTTTACACATATATATGAACTGTGATGATGTTCCGGAAATTGTGTTGTGCTTTTTGAACATGGTGTAAGGAGAAGATTAGTGTGCCTTTTTCACCTACATTTGGTTATTAATTCGATTCGTTTTTTCTTTTTACTTTTTGTATAAGTTGAATTGTGGTCATGTACGTTGATTTTGATTGAATCTGTGATTGATCTTTTCTAGTTTAAACACATTTTCCGTGACAAGGTCTATGTATTATTTTGAAGAAAAGAATCAACAAGTATAAAAATCCCTTTATGAACTAATATGTGGCTTCAAACAACTATAGATCATCAACAATTGTGTTTTTGTTTGACCTAATGAGTTCCAATGATTCAATAACTAGATTAAACCATGGAAATAAACTTGAAGGACTCATTTAAGCCATAAGTCAACTTGAAATGCTACATTAGATCAAATAGCATAACTACTAACAAATGACGGATTCCTTAGTTTAGAGATAGTTTAGAAACATCAAATTAAGTCTAGAAACATCAATTACGTAAAACAATCTTAAATACGAATTCCATCATTGTTAGAGTTTTGAAGTTTCAAAAACTCTTGTATGCTCAAAGTCAAGTTATGAATGATAACAATGAAGGAGATTAACTGTCTAATGATCAAAACTAACTTAAAACTCAATCAAACACCTCTAATGTGTATGCTTTTTGGATTTGGAGATTATTCTAAATCCTAACTTGAAATAGTATATTTCTGAGCATATGTATGTAACATACTAAATTTTTGTTAAGTACTAAGTGTGATTTATGTAACACCCTAATTTTCATAACGCTTTTAAAATAGGTTTTTGTTCATGTGCGGTTTTAAAAACTATTTTATAACATGAAATTTGATCCTAATTAAACTTTTTTATCAAAAAATAAGTTCACAATTCCTTAGGATTTACAACTTAGTACACAAAGACCATATACAACATACATAAGTTGTTTACATTCATTTACATATAACAAGAACTATAATGATGCCTTCCACTTCACTGTTGGTAGTCTATGTTACTACTAATTTCTTTTTGGTACTTGAATACATGCCATTTAAAATAAAAAGAATACATAAGACTTTTGTATCGTGAGATACATGCGTTTTAGACGCAAAAACATTTTACCATTTTGAATTTCATTCCAATACATTTGAAATCATTTTCATAAAGCATAAGTACATAAACATACTTCCATGCATTATGCAATGTCATGTAATGCAATGCATGATCTCCAAACGCACAAGTGTTGGGAAGTCCATGTCCCCACTGTTGGTCCTCAGGCTCCTTATCACTTCGGATGATTGTATAAATCCTAAGGGCCTTATTTCCATAAACAGTATCTTGTATTCATTTGGCACCATAACACCACCATCCCTTCATTGAGATGAGTGTCTAGACATACTACCATTCTGTTGCAATCACATTCAAACAGACTACAATCACACTTTCCAAATGCATTCATTCCCACACATAATATGCTATGTAATGATTCCTAATATTCTTGTTAGACAACATATAACTAAACATAGCAATCCATGAAAACATTTCAAGGAATTCTTATTTAAAAAAGCATTTGGATGCACAAGTAAAAACATTATTTATAAATCAAGCAATACTGACATATACCCAAAGTAAAAGATCCATGTGTACTCACCTTGTTAACTAGGTTAACTAACTAATATTGCCCCCTCTCGTTCTCTTTCCTTTCTTCAATTCCTATAGAATTGATTCTCAATAGGCTAACAATATTTTAGTCATGGGCAATACTCTTTTTATACATCTTTACTATCAAAATGACAAATTATTGAAGAATATGTCATCCCATAACTAGATCATATTCTAATACTCATGAATGGTATAAATAGTTTACACTAATACTCTTGTTAACAAATGTTAAGAATATTAAGCAGCATACTCATTCAAGCTTCTATACTTTCAATCCAATTTATGAATATGTAACCATTAAACCTTTGTCCAATACATGTTATTTATTATGTATAGCATGTTTATTTAACTCGTATTACAATTATCTAACTTCAATTTAACCGTGTAATCAAACCATAAAAATTAGGGTTCATGGGTTCCTCCTAAAATCCCCAAATTAAATCTGTGCAAAAAAGAGATAATAGCTTCTTACCTTGATTTATTCGGTTGGATAGCAAAAACCATTTGTTTTGCCTTTGTTTCTTCTTAGAAATCGTTTTCACATAGTAAGTTCTACAAGAACACATATATTTAAACTGTAGAGATTTTTTGAAGGTGAAAATAATTAAACTGAAGGGATTTAGGTGTAAAAACTCGTGATTAACAAGGCAAAGTAGTGCATACAATATATCTCCATGTAGCTTATCACAATACTTTTTTGAAAATCTAAGGGTGCGTTTAGTTGCGGAAAAATGGGTCGTTTTCCGGAAAAAATTTCCAAGAAATTACAAAGAAGTTGGAAATTTTTGGAAAACCAATAATCATTGTTTTCCATATTTTTCTAATTTCAAAATTTTTCTAAAATATAAACACACACCCACTCCCATCCCACCCACCTCTACCTACCCCCACCTTAACACCCCCAACCCACCACACCCCTACCTACTCACTCCCAAGCCCACCCTCACAAAACACACACACACACACACACACCCACAAAACACACACACACACACACACCCACACCCACCCCTATAAACACACACACACACACACCCATAAACACCCCCACACCCACCCTCACCCCCACAAACACACACACAACCCACCCCTACTCACACAACCCACACAAACCCACACCCACACCCTTTGATTCTTCTTAGAAATCGTTTTCACATAGTAAGTTCTACAAGAACACACATATTTAAGCTGTAGAGATTTTTTGAAGGAGAAAATAATTAAACTGAAGGGATTTAGGTGTAAAAACTCGTGATTAACAAGTCAAAGTAGTTCATACAATATATCTCCATGTAGCTTATCACAATACTTTTTTGAAAATCTAAGGGTGCGTTTAGTTGCGGGAAAAATGAGGCGGTTCTGAAAAAAAAGTTCCAAGAAAAATGAGAAGGGGAAAACGCGTTTAGTTTGTCTATTTTTTCTAAAATTATAAAGAGTTGGAAATTGGGGAAAACCAATAAGCATTGGGGCCAGATTTTTCTAAGGGCAAGGGGTTTTCGTCAAAGATAAAACACATACCCACGCCCAGCCCACCCACCGCTACCTACCCCCACCTTACCACCCCCAACCCACCACACCCCTACCTCACCCACTCTCAAGCCCACCATCACAAACACACACACACACATACCCACACCCACACCCCCACCAACATCACACACACAACACACACAACCCACACCCACCCATAAACACACAACACACACACACACCCACAACCCACCAAACCCCCCCCACCACACCCACACAACACACCCAAACCCCAACACCCAAAAAACCAAACACACAAACCAACAAAACCAACCCCCCCACCCCTTACACACACAATGCACACAAACCCACACCCATACCCTCCCCCTCCCCACACCCACACCCACAAACATACACACACACACCCACACCCACACCCCCACATCCACCCCCATAAACACACACACACACACACCCCACAACCCCCTACACCCACCCCCACCCCCACAAACACAAACACACAAACCCAGACAAAACCCACCTCCACCCCAAACCCCACCCTCCTACACACACAACCCACACCACAAACCCACCCAACCCTCCCCCCCCCCCCACATACACACACACACACACACCCACATCCACCCCCATAAACACACACACACAACCCCACATCCCTACCCCCTCTACACACACACCCACATCCACCCCACCCCCACAAACACACACACACACACACACAACCCACACAACCCACACCCACCCCCACCCTCACAAACACACACACACACAACCCACACAAACCCACACCCTCTCCCACCCCCACCCCCACATATACACACACACACCCACACCCACCCTCATAAACACACATACACACAAAACCCCACATCCCCACCCCTATACACACACATCCACACCCACCCCTATACACACACACTCACACCCACACCCACCCCACCCCCACAAACACACACACACACACACACACAACCCCACACCCACCCCTACAAACACACACACACCCACAAAAACACACACCCCACCCGAACATATCTCATACCTACCCACGCCACCCCATACCCACCCCACCCCTACCTACTCCAAAGATATGAATTAATGCATTAAACTTAGCCCAAAACATCATATGAATAACATTAAAATAAAATGCACCATGAAATGATTTGGTAACCATGGATGATCAATCTCAGATCGATATGAGATAGGGTGAAGTGGGGTGGGATACGGTGGGGTAGTGTGGGATGAGGTAGGGTAGGGTAGGGTAGGGTGGGTGGGGTGGGGTGTGAGTGGCGTTGCGGGTTTGTGTGATGTTAGTTAAAATAACAAAAATTGGAAAATGAAAACTCATAGAAAAATGTACATGTTGTCACAACTAGCATTTTAGCTAGGAAATTCTATTCTTGTGTAATCATTCAACCATTTTAAAACATATACTCTAAGTAAATATCACCCAGGGCTCATTTAAATTCACCTCTCACGTTCAACGAAGAGTCTGAAAACCCTACGAATCCCGGTTTAAGTCCATATTTGATTAGGATTTCCTTATTGGGCCTAATGGGCCAATAAGCATTCAAGACAACTATTTTGAGCTTGGAAACCCTATTTGGACTCTAAATGGACCCAATTCACAAATCTATAACATTTTGGACCATTTGGGCCTAGAATGATTTATTCTAACCCTAATGGCTTTATTGGGCCATAGCTAATCTAATTAAACCTAGTAAGCCATAAACTCTTTTTTTTTCAAAATGGGCCGTGAACCATCTAATGAGCCCATTGGGCCGAAAAGTAATTATTTGGGCCTCATAATTTCGAGTAAAGTCTAAGGCCCAAACTATTCCACCCCTTCTCCTAGCCCAAAAATTCTCGGCCCATGAGTTAAAAAAAATGAAATGGGGATTGACTTTGGTGGTGCCACCTCCATATTATTCACCATGTAACAAGGTAATTGTTTCTCATACTTCCATGTAAACTTGTATAACCCAACATGCTTCAAGCCTAGTCTCTCTTCCTCTCTTTATTACTCTTGGCCAACACCAACATCTCACCACCTTCATTTCTTTTCAAAATCATCTCAAGAATACCTCTCTTTCATCCATAATTTCGAGACTTTGTGTGGATCTTCAAGAGGTTCTCATCTAAATCATCACTCTTTGGTAAGTTGTTATCATATTTAAGTCTTTGACTTTCATCCTTAAGCTAATAACACTCTCTTATGAAGCTTCATTTCATGATCTAACACCTTAGAAACTTCATAAGCTCGAAATCCACTTAAGGAGCTTGTTAGAGCCAAAATCACATCAACTTCTTCCACTTTTTCTTCAAAACCGAAACATCAAAGCAAAGGTGAGTTCATACCCCCTTTTTTCGGTTTTTACATGATTTTTGGGGGAGAATACAAGTAAAATGTGTAGATCTATGTTTTATATGCATGTCTTGTGTGATTTCTTAGTTTATTTTGTAAAAATGTGTTAGATCTTAACAAATCTCGACATCTTAAGTAACATTGAGTAAAGATCCATGAACTAAGACACCTTATACATCATATTATCAAGTTAAAAGTGGCTATGTGTTGAAGATATAAAAATTTAAGGCAAAAACCTTGTTAAAGGTCAAAACTGTCAAGAAAACAAAACATAAGGGCAAAAAGTGACATATATGTTTTTATAAGGATCAAACAAGTCCTAATTGTATATAAATGGATTTTTATGATAAACATGCTTTCCAAAGGGACAAAAATGTAAATTTTAGCTTAATGGGCTAAACATTTGGGCCTCATGGTTTTGGGCCCAAATTTGCGAAAAAATGAAAGTTTTGGGGATAAAAATGTTATTTGATCAAAGTTTGAGTCATAAATGTAAATAAACCAAATTTGGGGGTGAAAATAACATTTATTTCTAAATGGGACCAAAAATGTAACTTTTATCAAAATAGGGCCGAAAGTGTCAATTTTTACAAACAAAGGGGCTGAAAACGCACTTTTCTGCAAAACTGGGCTGTAAATGTCAATATATAAATTTTTGGACCAAAACCGTGAATTTCTAAACATTTGGAACGAAATTACAAATTTTTATAAATTATGGACTAAAGTGTTATTTTTACAAAACTTTGGGCCTTAATTAAAAATTTGAGGCTTATTGACCAAAAATGTCGTTTTTACAAAAAGATGACTTTTTATAATCAATTTGGTAAACCTCAAGCTAAAACAAACAACGAAACAATAACGAATGAACGAAATACATCGATAACAAGTTTATTGGGCCTAATATTCACATTACATGGCCAATGGGCCTTAAGGGACCATTCAAATGTATATTGAGCCCAATATCTTCCATGACATGTTTATTGGGCCTTGCGACCCATGTACATGTTAATTTGGGCCTGAGCTATGGGTCACATGTTTCTTGGGCATTGGTTGTCGATTTACATGCCTATTGGGGCCAAATTACCCTCTTTCATGTTATTGGGCCTCTGTGGTCCATTTACATGCTAATTGGGCTTGGACTGAAATTCACATGTTTTGTAGATCGTAACTATACCTTTAAATAATTATTGAACTTCGTATACTTATATATGTACCTTTGGATTTTGACAACATACAACATACACGTAAACATTAAACATAGTACGAAAGGTTGAGAATCTAGTGAGACGTGTCGGTTGGCACCTTTGAGTGTACAATCGTAGCCTGTAGTTATAACCAGAGTTTCCTGGAGGGAGAGCGAGAGTTTGTGTATAGATCTATACGGGGTGACCCTCCACGCCTTAGCTGTTCGCTACAGCTAGACTAGGCCAGTCTAGGACGACAAAACCTTGAGCAATACCGGCATTTGGAAAAATGCCAAGACATACAACCTAGTCATTATCATGTATGGTTATAACGGCTCATATAGAGATCCAATACCAATTTAACATTTCGAAGATTTAACCCTTCGAGTGTGTCAATACAAAACAACTTATTAAACGATACAAGAACCTCGACATTATTATAAATCAGAAAATATCGGATTTTCTGGGGAAATATTAATATTCAATTATCACTTACTTACAATACAAAGAAATCTAAACCACATTCATATATGTTACTACTACAAAATTCACACATGCATCTATACTTGATTACCACATCATTTTCAGACATTTTACAGAAAATATTGGATTTTCTGGGCTTTTACAAAAGATACAAAGACTTTTATTCAAACATACTTATGAACTCACCAACATTATATATGTTGACCGTTTTCAAAATAAATTGTATTCTCAAGTAATCGTTAAGCAGGAAGATTTTCAAGTGTGTATGGTTTTATTTTATGTAACATCACTCAACGTACTATTAATACTTTGAACTTATGTAATTTATAACAATGTACTTGATGTGAACAATGCTGGTTGTTATATGAAATGTTGGGATGAATGTGTTATGTTTCATATATATTTATTGTGATGATAATTCAATTGTTAGTCACACGAGCCCCCAGACGTTTCCGCCGTCTGGTTCGGGGGTGTGACACATGTAAACGCGTTTTCTAATTTTCTAAAACAGAAAATGAAAAATGAATAAGATTTAACTAAACGCGTTTTCTAAATTTTCCAATGAAAACTGAAAACGGAAAATGAAAACTAAAAACGGAAAACAGAAAACAAAAAATGAAAACTGTTTTTCCACAACTAAACGCAACCTAAGAACTTACAGATAAATGATTAGAGACCCAATGTTATCAAAACAACATATACTTGGTTGTTCTATCGGTAACATTAACTAATATTATAACATTCTATTTGCTATAACAATAATATTGAATTGAAAGAATTTTACATCAAAATTAATACAAAACATATGATTTGGTAGTGGATTGAAAATGTTCTTAAAAGATTTACATACTAAAAAAATAGACCAAACCATAAAAACCATAATGAAATTAAAAGATTTAATGATAAGTTATCCTTAAAATAATAAATTATCTTATTCAAACCTTCCAAACACGTAGATATTTTGAAGAAAAAGGAAAAAGACACAAAGATAAAACACGTGACGAGTGGCGAGGACTCAAAAGACTCACGTGGCAGACATAAAAGAAACGTCGTCCCGCTTCTATGCCGTTCTAATAACTCGGAACTCTCAAACCTCTTGGATCACTCAACCTTCAAACTCAATCCAACTCAAGAACACATACTTAATAGTGGAATAACTATGTGTTTTCTCCAGATGCTGAACTTCAATTTATGCCTTGCGTAATGAACATGATGATTCTCCACACAACAACTTCATCTCTTTGTGATTCATTGTCAAAAATCAGTAATGTCAATCGTTTTCTCCCTCTTTCTGCATTTCGCGCCACCGCGACTATGGGGTATGTCATTATTTCGATGCTTCGTGATTGATTTTTTCAAATTTCGTTTGTTCATTGTAGCTTTTTGTACTCTCTCCAATGAAAATCGAAACGAGTCTACCGAATTTCGTAAATGGAAATGGTAGGTTCAATCGCGGGGAACATGAACGTCAGTCACATTTGGAATTCATATCGATTTGTAGCTTGTTAACTATTAATTTCTTATTCTTACACGTAAAATTATGATATGTTGTCTGATATGGAAGAATTGTATGTAGTTCACTAAGTTTCTGTTAATTTATGGAAAGTTCACTGGAAGAATTTGATTTTGACTCATTTTCAGAGTTGAAATCGATCTGTAGTTCCTTATGAATTTGAATTTGACGCACATTCAAAAATTATACCATTTTTAGCTCATTAACAATTAATTTTTCTTCTTCCTGAATTTGTTCAACCCTAATTTTTGATATTTCATCTGATGAGGATGGATTATTAGTAGCTGATAAGTTTTTGTTGGTTATGGTTTCTAACACTAAATCAACTGAAAATTTAATTCCTAACTCCTTTTTGAGCCATACATTCTATTTCTGTTGCTATTTACCCAATGTAATCAATACCTTTATTTTCTTCATTCATACTGATTATGTTCATTACTTTCAATGATCCATTCAAATGTAGTATCTCCCATTATTTATTTATATACTTTATTATTATCTCTTACAATATTGCGTTTCCAAACAGAGTAATGTGGAGTAGAAATGCATCAGGTAAAAGTTCTGTGAGTGGATTTTCCAGTAAGGTACCCCTTCTCTTCAAACTCCTTTTGTTAAGGTTAAGCTTTCTATGGCTATTTTCAATGATGAGGTGAGGAGGGCATTCACGTCTTTTGTCTTGTCCTGTATTATGTACATACAATTTGACTTATTATATAACTGAATGTATGACTAAGGTTAAAGGATCAGAGCCTATAAAGCATACATCTACTTATGTACACAGTCAACATGCAGAAGAGATTGTGATTGAGGTAATTATCATTCACTTCACATGTTTAATTATAGCATTCTACTTTGAGTTTTTTTTTATTATGACATTTTTGAAAAATGTCCCCATTATACCATGAAATTTGATTTGTATTTGGATAAGATTTATATAACTGATGTAAGCAATCACTTTTCCATTTTAAAAATTTTCAGGAAGAAGTTGTAGTGATGTCAGAAACTGATTCTTCATTTGAAAGCATTCCTGGAGTACCAATTCCTCTTGGAGTATCAAAAACTGAAAATGGAATAAACTTTTCTCTTTTTTCAAAGCATGCAACTTCAGTTACACTTTGCTTATCACTTCAAGACAGGTGAGAGTGTATCATAGATTATGAATTTGTTGTGTTTTACTCATACTTTATTTATTTATTTTTATCTGTTTTTAGTGGAAACGATGCATCTCCAAATGATGAAATGATTGAGCTGATATTGGATCCACATGTAAACAAAACCGGAGATATATGGCACATATGTGTTCTGGTAATTTTATTTTTATTTTTTATTAAAAGACCAAAATACCCTCGTTATATATACATGCATACATACATAAAATTCAATTATATATAGTTACAATAAACAAAAAGAATATATATTGTTTACATTATTGAATTTTATTCAATTTTCAGCCTACCAAACACGTGACATATTATAATTCCATCATATTCAAATTCTTTCATATTACAAATTCCATTCCTTCCAAAAACATTCTATAAATCCAAAGATTGCAACATTTTTCCTGTTTTTTTATTCATAATATTATACTCATGTAGGAATTGCCTCTGAGAAATGTTGTGTATGGATACCAAATAAATGGTCCTCAAGGTTTCCATGAAGGGCATCGATTTGACAACACTGTTGTTCTTATAGACCCTTATGCAAAATTAATACAAGGACGCAAGATTTTTGGTAATGTGAAAGATAAATTTTGTAAATTTTATGGAACTTATGATTTTAGTAGCTTGCCATTTGATTGGGGAGACAATTATACCCCTCCAAACATACCAGAGGTAAAAAAAGTGTAACCCTTTTTTCATAAACCCTTTTGATTTTACTTTTTATTTTCATTAGATTACAATTGTTGCTGATATTTTGCAGAAGGATCTTGTGGTATATGAAATGAATGTTCGGGCTTTTACAGCTGATAAATCTAGTGGATTGGAAGAAAGTCTACGTGGCAGCTACCTTGGTATTATTGAAAAGGTATTGGTTCTTTCTTCTCAAAAAAAAAAAAATAAATAAATAAAAGAGGATAAAATAATTAATGTTTTTGATATTATTGTTGATGTGAAGATACCACATCTGTTAGAGCTTGGAATCAATGCAGTGGAATTGCTTCCAGTTTTTGAGTTTGATGAGTTTGAATTCCAGAGGCGTCCAAATCCTAGAGATCACATGGTAATTAATCTCAACTTTCTAAAGAATAGAGTATTTACAAAAATGGTCCCTTGGATTTCATACTTTTACCATGTTTCGTCCAAGATTGAAATACTTTTCCGTTTTGGTCCTTATTTCAAGGTTACTTACAAGGACTGAAACTGAGATGGAACCTTGAAATAAGGACCAAGTTTTTATAAATGTTCTGATTTTGGACTGAACATGTAAAAATCAGAAATTACAGGGACCGTTTTTGTAATTTATCCCCTCATACTTGAGTCATATTTCATTTTACCCCCTTAAATATATTTTAATTTTAAATGTTATTTATTTACTCACTAATTAATTATATCTATTAAACATTTCATGTTAGAAATATAAAATTATAATGATTATATAAAATTTTCAATCTTTTTTACGACTATGATGTAATATATATATATATATATATATATATATATATATATATATATATTCGTATATTTCTTTTGAAAAAATGTATTGTAATGTTTCCAAGAAATTAAAATAGGACTTGTGTTTAGAAATGACTAATTAAATAAAGGGGGTTTTATACTTTAATATTTTAACTGATATTCTGAAATTTATATAATAATTGTGAAGATCAACACATGGGGATATTCAACAATAAATTTCTTTGCTCCAATGACTCGTTATGCAAGTGGTGGAGGAGGACCTATTGTTGCTTGCTTAGAGTTCAAACAAATGGTTAAAGCTTTGCACTTAGCAGGAATCGAGGTTTTTATTATTTAACTTTTCTTTTAATTATAACGCCTTGATTATATATATTTAATTTTGTCATTAAATGTTGTAAATACTTTTTGTAAATTATACAGGTAATCTTGGATGTTGTTTACAATCATACAAATGAGGCTGATGATAAATACCCTTATACCACATCATTCCGTGGTATAGACAACAAGGTATAGTATATTATTCTTCATTTCATTTAAAGTTGATTTCTATAAAGAAAAAAATTATGTTTTATTAATATTGTTGTGAATCTGTTTATTTATTATATTATAGGTATATTACATGTTAGATGGTAATGGTGAATTACTGAACTTCTCAGGCTGTGGTAACTTCATCTTCTTTCCCTTCATTTATCATTAATAATGAAAAAAATACAAATAAAATATTTGTTTTTGTGGTAGTATATTTCCAATTTCCGAAATTGACCTTCACATTTGATGTGGAATGAGCAGGTAACACATTGAACTGTAACCACCCTGTTGTCATGGAACTCATACTTGACAGCTTAAGACACTGGTATGTACTTTTTGGGAAAATTGCTAAAATGAACAATGTAATTTAATCTTTTTATCAAAATAGGGAATATACTTCAGTTATTTTTCCATGATAAAAACTTTTTTTTTTACACCCTAATGCAACATGTATTTTTTGCACACATACCAAACAAACATAGTAAAAAAAGAAGTGAATCTCTGAAGCATAAAAAAAAGATGTTGGAGATGAATTACTTTTTTTTAGGGTTAATCTGAAAGAAGACCTTATATTTTGTGTTTTTTCCGGATTAAACCTCGAAAAAAAAAATTTGCCTGAAAAATACCTTGTATGTTTTCATTTTTTCCGAAAGCCCTCAACTTTGTATTTTTTTCCGAAAAAAACCCTCAACCTTCTAATGCTTCCAAATAAACCCTCAACTTTTTTAGTTTTTCTCGAAAAAACCCTCACATTTTACAATTTTTTTGGAAAAAAATGACTAAAAGGGCCAGACCGGAAAAAATGACAAAATACAAGCTCTTTTTCAGGTAATTTTTTTTGAGGTTTAATCCAGAAAAAACACAAAATATAAGGTCTTTTTTGAGATTAACCTTTTTTTTTTTGGAACGACAAATTTAATCTACTCCTAATTCCACCTATGTCAAAGTACAAGTGCTTTTTTGTATTTTGCCCATGTTTTTACCATAGAAGAAATGGATCTATGTAAAGGATAAAGGTTATATTAGGTGTGTAACTGTGTATGTTATTTTACTTTTTTTTTTTTTTTATAGTTTAAAGGTAAAGTTGTTTTTTAATATAAAATTCTTTTTGTTAAGGGTCACTGAATATCATGTGGATGGATTCCGGTTTGACCTTGCAAGTGTTCTTTGTAGAGGAACAGATGGCTCTCCACTTGATGCTCCTCCACTTATTAGGGTAATTTAGTCATTTCCTTTTTTTCACAATAAAAATAAAATACTTTCTGATTTTCATTGATTTCTTATTGTTATTCAACTGCTTGTATTTTGTTATTTGGGTTTCCCTTGCTCATACTTATAATACTATTTATAGTAAGATACTACTTTTTATTTGTCTTAAAACCAAAAAAGGTATGTTAAAACAAGTTATTGACTTTTCAAATCACCATAGTTGACTTTTTCTTGCAAACACACCATTGTCCTTGTGAAAATGCTAAATCAACATTATACTTTTGATAGTAATAAATTATGGTAAATCTTAAATCTAACATAATGTTATTAAACTATAATACGAATTTCTCATTTCATAATTTCAAAAAAAAAAAAAAAAATTTGTTTTACTTACATCATTAATCTCCTAAAATGGATCAGGCAATAGCAAAAGATAATATACTATCCAGGTGTAAAATTATTGCTGAACCATGGGATTGTGGAGGCCTATATCTTGTTGGGAAATTCCCAAATTGGGACAGGTAATTTTCTGTTCAAAACTATCTATTCCAATTTCCAAATATACCCTTCCATTATTTAAGTATCTACAGTTTTTGTTAGAAAACTGCTCATTATTAAAACAAGTGTCTTTTTTTTTATGCTGTGAAGGTGGGCTGAATGGAATGGAATTTATCGTGATGACATGAGGAGATTTATAAAGGTATTGACACATAAACCAACGAAGAAATGGGCATTGTACTTAACTTTTTCTTTTTAGTCCGAGGGTATTTTAGTCTTTATGCATTTGGTGACTTTATGTATAGGGTGACACTGGTATGAAGGGAGCTTTCGCAACTCGAATTGCTGGTTCAGCTGATTTGTACAAAGTAAGTATTATTATTATTATTATTATTATTATTATTATTATTATTATTATTTCTGATGGAAAATTGACTGTCTAAAGCACTGTGCTTAAACAATTGTTTGTGTAAGTACAAATTATAATATGATTGATGGTTAAATGCATGATATAGCAATGCACTTTCATTGATTTGTTTATTTTTAGGGGTAACCTTAAAAAAAAAATTATATTTTGTGTTTTTTCTGGATTAAACCTCAAATTTATTTTTTTGCCTGAAAAGACCTTGTATTTTTTCATTTTTTCCGAAAAAGCCCTCAACTTTGTATTTTTTTCTGAAGAAAACCCTCAACCTTCTAAATGCTTCCAAATAAACCCTCAACCTTTTTAGTTTTTTTCAAAAAAACCCTCACATTTTACAATTTTTTTTTGGAAAAAAATGACTAAAAGGGCCAGATCGGAAAAAAATGAAGAAATACAAGGTCTTTTTCAGGCAAAAAAAAAATATTGCTATAACTGAGTAGATTTTCCAAAGTATAACACCCTAATAAGAAAAAAAATTGAAAACACAATGCTATAAAGATTTTAATAAATGCTATAATAAAAATGAAATGAAATAATAATATACAAGCATCTTAATTCTTATGGTTATTTGCTTTATAGGTCAACCAACGGAAGCCTTACCATGGGGTCAATTTCGTAATAGCACATGATGGATTTTCTCTTTATGACCTTGTGTCATATAATTACAAGGTATTATTGAATTTCAATCATTTGGTTAAATGCAAAGAATAACATTATTAGGGCATTATGCTTTAAAAATATAGCCAATTAAATGGTTATCACATTTCTATAATGGGTAGACTTTTCAAAGTACAACAATGCCCTTATAAGAAATAATCTAAAACTACAATGTTGTAATAAGATAAAGTATGTTTTTCCTAGCACAATGATGCTAATGGAGAAGGTGGAAATGATGGAAGCAATGATAACCTTAGCTGGAATTGTGGGCATGAAGGTAAATTTTGCCATTGAACTTTTTTTTAATTGATATAGCCTCTTAACTTTTGTAGAATATGTATTTAATTATCTTTATTTTGAATGTTATTGATAGGGGAAACATCTGATGCTAATATTAAATCCCTACGTTTCCGACAGATGAAGAATTTTCATTTGGCATTAATGGTGTCTCAGGTATATTGTATAAAAATTTCTTATTGCATTCCATATTTTTAATTAATTACTTTCCATAAATGTTTTATGTGGTAGAATTCCATTTAGGTTCTTGTGCCACATTACTATTTAACAAAAGGGTTAAATGCAACATTTATGCAACAAAGTGGTTCATGAAACACTGTTACATAAACGCGCATTTAATCCTTAAAAAGTTATTATAATTATTTGTGCTATTATATTGTTTATATTATAAACTTTCTATTAGGTAGGGACCATTTTTATAATTTTTCAAACACATGGACCATTTATGTAAAAAAAACCTTCACATGAACCTTTTTTGTAAGTTACAAGGACAGTTTTTGTAATTTATTTTCTACACAACTGCCAACATAAGAAAGTGTTAAACACATGGACCGTTTTTGTAAAAAAAACATCTTCTCTGTAAAAAAAATATCTACACAGGGACCTTTTCTGTAAATTACAGGGACAATTTTTGTAATTTATTTTCTACACATGGACCAAACCCACCAACATACAAAAATGTTGTGGCCAAAGTCTAAAATAAGAATGTTTTGTGGCCTAAGTACGAAATTGTTAAAGTCATTTGTGGCCAAAATATGAAATAAAAAACTTTTGTGGTTAAAGTTTAAATCCACAAAAACACACTATTCATAAGGTCATTTGATTTTAATATATATAGTATTATTATTTTTGTGGCGTTTAATGATGTTTGAGTTTCATGTGTTTACTATTGGTAGGGTGTACCAATGATGCTAATGGGAGATGAATATGGGCATACTCGCTATGGAAATAACAATAGCTATGGACATGATACCACTTTAAATCATTTTCAATGGGGACAAGTATGTGTTCCTATTTTCAAAAAATAATTCATTTTTCCTATTACAACATTTTGCTTTGAAAAATTTACCCAATTATAGCAAATGTCATGTAAATTTAAAGCAATTATCACTTCTCTATAACTGGGTAGATTTTTCAAAAGTAGAAATTGGTAATAAGAAAAAAAAAAGTATGATAAAAAGTACTTTGACCTTTCAGTTGGATGCAAGGAAGAATGATTGCTTTAGATTCTTTGCAGAGGTGATTAAGTTTCGCCAAAAGTATAGAGTATTTAGACAAGAGTATTTCATTGGCAAGGTGAGTTTTATATATAAATATAATATATTTCATCTTATGGTTAAATGCAAGAAATAACAAAACACTTTTGTTTATTTGTTTATTAAAGCATCATATACTTTCATTTCTTTGTTTAACAAATCTAATGGAAAACTCGTTCTGACTGACTGTAGAAAGAGATAACATGGCATGAAGATAACTGGAATAACTATGAGAGCAGATTCATCGCATTCACGTACACTCCTTTTTTCATAATTATGTCTGAGCCCCCTTGTGGGACTTATAATTCCAATTTTTGTCCCACTCGAAAAATTTGTTTTTGATGCAAATGACATAAATGCCCTTCTCACCATCACCATTTTACACGGGACAAACGTCAACAAGCTTTCTAGTGATATTTTCTATGATGAGGATGAGGAGGGTATTCACGTCTTTTGTACATGCGAGATATATATTGTAATTATACATATTGTAGTACTCACTAATATATTTTTTTTATAGACTTCATGATCATGACGAAGGGGATATTTACTTGGCGTTCAATGCACATGATTACTTTGTTCAAGTTCCAATACCTTCACCTCCTCTCAAAAGGCGTTGGTTCCGAGTGGTTACTCTTCTAATTTCATCAACTTCTACTTAAAAATGACACTCTGTATGGAGTAAGTGTGATTATATCACCAAAAAATGATTTTTTTTTTTTTTTTACAGGTGGACACGAATCTTGAGTCACCAAATGACATGGTGCCAGAGGGTGTGGTTGGCATTGGAGATACATATAATGTCGCTCCCTATTCTTCCATTCTTCTTCAAGCAAAGCCATAATTAAGTATAAAATAAATTATTTTATAGGTCAGGTTTCTTTTATAATCTTCAGGATGTTATATTTATCCTTTTTTTTGGTAAAAATAGACAAAAACATCGTTTTCACGCTTCAGCTAAGACTATATTTACGGTTTAATACACTCATTCACAGTTTAGTGCAAAACAATTATGGAAATTAATACATTCATACATATTTATACAACACTATATATATATATATATATATATATATATATATATATATATATATATATATATATATATATATATATATATAAGACAAAACATCCATACATTCATGATTCACATTTTAACACAAAAAAACATTTATAGCTTACTACAGAAAAGTATACATTTACAACTACATTCATAGCTTAAGATTAGGGATGGTGACTTTCGTGTTGGGTTAAAACTTAAAAGGTTTAAGATAGCTTGACCCTAATGTTACCTATTTAATCATTGATTCTTGTCTTGGCAAGATGTTTATTTTGATGCTGAGTTGGCAGGTTTAGATCTTATAAATATGTTGTGTTGTGCTAGATCAACACCGAAGGGGAAGTGGGGAGTGAAATTGTGGAGTATGAGATATTAATAAAAAAATGAAAAATAAAAATAGTATTGAGCGGACGGCTAATTTGTGGCCTTCACATTACAAAAAGAATAAACACAATGTTTTCTTTATATTTGGCTATGTTTTTGGCATGTCCAGTTTACCTAAAAGATTAAAAGAAGGTGATATAAAAAATGGTGATTTTAATGTTATTTCTATGTACCAAATCAAAGAGCTGCTTGATAAAGGATTTATTCGACCTAGTTCTTCACCTTGGTGAACACCTATGTTATTTATGAAAAGGAAATTATACAAATCCGAGAACGACTGAAAGCCTCACGAGATAGACAAAAGAGCTACGCCGATAAGAGACGAAAACCCTTGGAGTTCCAGGTTGGTGACCGCGTCCTTCTAAAGGTCTAACCCTGGAAAGGCATGATACGTTTTGGGAAACGTGGAAAGCCAAACCCAAGGTACATTGGACCGTTCGAAATCCTTGCTAGGATCGGTCCCGTGGCATACAAACTTCAGTTACCTCGAGAGCTCAGCAACATCCATCCTGTCTTCCACGTGTCGAACCTAAAGAAGTGTCTGTCCGATGAAACACTTGTGATTCCTCTCGACGAGATTGAAATCAGCGAGAACCTCAACTTCGTGGAAGAACCGGTCGAAATCATGGACAAAGAGATCAAACGAACGAAACAAAGTCGCATCCCGATAGCGAAGGTTCGCTGGAATGCCAAGCGGGGACCTGAATTCACTTGGGAGCGCGAAGATCAGATGAAACAAAAGTATCCGCATCTCTTTCCTAATCCATGATTTGTATTCCATGTTCGAATTTCGGGACGAAATTCCTTCTAATGGGGGGATGATGTGACAACCCGAAACCTTGTCCGTTTCTGATACGCGATTTCCGTTAATAAAGTTTCGAATTCATTAATTTTTCCGTCAAACTTCTTGGTTTAGAAAATAATCTAGTTATATATAATTAAATTATTTACGAGTCGGAACCAAAAATCGCGCGGAAACCCGAATATCTCGAAAAACCAACATTTCCGGTCTAAGGAGATTACGACCGTAAACGTGTTTACGGCCGTAAACTCGTTTACGACCGTAAACTCGTTTACGGTTAGTACGAGTGGACCCCACAACACCCCTATAAATACGTTGCCTCCACCTTCATTAGAACATTTCTGGCCAAGCACTCTCCCCTTTTCTCTCCAAGAATCTCGACCGTAAACACTCCAAACACCTTCAAACTTCGGAAAACATCGAGAAAACCACGTTTGGGTTGCTTAGGAACGTCTGGAAAAGCTCATCTCGTCGAAATCAGCAACCAACACCAGTGTTCTTGAGTTTACGGTTCGTCTTCAGAAACCGTAAACTCTGTTCTTGAGTTTACGGTCCAAACCTTCAAAGACCGTAAACTCTGTTCTTGAATTTACGGTCCAAACCTTCAAAGACCGTAAACTCTGTTCTTGAGTTTACGGCCGTAAACTCGCCGAGCCTTCAGAAACCGTAAACACTAGTTTACGGCCATAAACCCCATTTACGACCGTAAACTCTTGTTCACGGCCGTAAACACTTTTTGGGTGGTACTTTTGGCTGAAAACCCATCTTTCTTCGATTCGATCAAGTCCCGGATTTCGTTAAGTGTCACGTGCAACAACTCGAGGATCTTCATTCAGTCAGCTATTTCACGCAACAACAGTGAGTTCATACCCCTACATTTTCCATATTTTTAATGTTTTCAGGGGGGGAATACAAGCTAAACATAAATGTTTTTCAAAAACTTATGCAAAACTCATACTTTAAATCCCTTTTGTACTATGCAGAGCATAAGGGACGTTTTCACTAAAATTGCATAGTTTTTCCGGACACGCTATTCGCTACGTTTTACATGCAAACTATAATCGGTATAGTTTTGGGATTTTCTAAAACTTATCAAGTATAGAAACTTTCACTATCAAACATATGCACTGAGACAGAAACCGTTACAGTTTACATCACTGCTTTATCATGGTATTCATAACTGTAATTATCACTATATACGGTATACATACGGATTTTCACTACGGTAGAACGCTACTACACTACATGTAAACTAGATTGTACGATACTGTGAGGCGCTACTTCACTACTGTACCCTTAGGTGTACAGGGATAAATCATACCACTGTATAACCAGAGTCTCCTGGAGGGAGAACGTGAGATTTGTGAATAGATCTATTCGGGACTGACAATCCCACATCTGGACTGCTAGCTACAGTTAGGCGGGCACGCCTGAGGTGTACAAATGTCATTTCACTCAACGCCTGAAGAACGTTGGAAAGGTCACTAGTCATATCAAACATGGTTATACGACTCACATTATGTATAAATCACCTTTAGTTTACAAACCTGGCACTCTTCAACGGTTTTATTTATACCAAATAGAACTAAAACACACTATACATACTGGCCGAGCCAGGGTTTTCAAAACAGAACCATTTATGCTATGGTCTTACATATAAAAATACTTATACTTCATAATTAGCTTTAGCTAGTCACATGAGGTAGTATTTTCGCATATCACTACAGTTTTCAGAATCGAACACTCATGGTTTTATACGAAATCGATAACGCTACGTTGTTCACTAAAGAAAATATCGGATTTTCTTGAGACTACACGAACATTTCGGCTCGCTCATCAACAAGTTTTCATTACAAATTACTGCTTATGAACTCACCAGCTTTATGCTGATATTTTCAAACTGCTTGTATTCTCAGGAAATCAGTAGACAGGTACTTGCTGGATTTTGAGGAACTGAAGCATTAAGAGTTTTTAAGTTTTTACTATACAAAACTATTGGATGTAATTCAAACTAGGTTTCAGACTGATGTAAACATTTTTATTTAAGTATTCACTTTAATGGTTGTGTTGCTATGATTGCTGTTATTCATTGGTTGTGATGCTATACATGACGTCCTCCGCCCCGGAACATTTCCGCCATCGGTTTCGGGGTGTGACATAGTTAATGTCCTGGTTTCATTATGTTCGGGTAAAGGAAAGTGAACATCGAAAAGAAGGCATTCCGAACTCGTTATAGACATTTTGAGTTTTTGGTGATGCCATTCGGTATCACTAATTCACCTAATGTTTTATGGATTTAATGAATCGTACATGCAATACGTTTCATGACAAGTCTGTCATAATATTTATAAATATGTTTCATGACAAGTCTGTCGTAGTATTTATAGATGATATTCTTATCCACTAAAAATATGAAAAATGTAAACACTTGAGAGAAATATTGCATATTCTGGAAATCTGTATGCTAAGCTCTTAAAGTGTGACTTTTGCTTACGAGTGCTTTACCTGGGACATGTGGTGTCTCAAGAAGATATCAACGTCGATCCATCAGATATTGAAGTAGTAATGAAATGGGGGACTCCGTAAACACCAAACACAGTTCAAAGTTTTCTTGGTCTTGTTATATATTATCAACGATTTATTCACGAATAACCATACCACTCATGAAATTGAAAAAAAAGGATATAAAGTTGGCGTGGGATAAGAAGGAAGAGGAAGCATTTTCCATATATGAAACAAAATTTATGTGAGGCACCCATTGCAATATCTTTACTCGATGGTATGGAAGACTTTGTTCTTTACATGATGCAAAGGGTTTTATGTATCTAATAAAGGCCTTTAGTATGTGCATATGAAAAGGGATAAAGTAATTTCCTATGCTTCTAGGCAACTGAAGGATGGGAGAACTAGGCACAAGACTCATGATTTAGAACTTGTGACAATTGTATTTGCATTCAAAATTTGGAGACATTTTCGAGAGTGAATATAAACTATAAATGGATCATAAAAAGTTTACAATATGTCGTCTCGTCACTCAAAAAGACCTAAACATGACAAAAAGAAGGTATATCAAACTCATAAAAGTTTACCTGGTTGTGGAGTGGTGTTCAAGACAACATAAAATAAAACAAGCAACCGAAGTATCGACGATTTTCAAAATTTTAATCCCTAAAGCCATGCATTAAATTACAACTTATTAAATCAATACCATTAATTTGGTGTTGTATAACATTTTGTATTAGTGAAATTTATAGTTTTTATTTAAATTAAATTACTTAAATAAAAAATGTGTCATGATAAACCATATCCTTGGTACGACAACGAAGTAAAAGTTGGTTTGTAAAAATAAGGTGACACAGATATGGCAGAAAAAAATGGTAAAGTAGGGATGAGCATGGGACATGTAACACCAAGTTCCAGGTATATACATCTTTTATTGTTATGGCATCTAAGCTCAAAAGAAAGAAAGAATTTCAATGGCCACACAGTGGAGATATTAGTGCCACGACGTGGCATAAGCCACTGGAATCGCATAGATGAGTGTGCGCCATGACGTAGCAATCTGTTGGCCAGGACGTGGTGACCATTTAATACTAAACCCTAATTTTGGGGTTTATGTGCCTATGTAAGGGAAGTGAGGGCTAGGGTTTGCACAGCCTCAGCCTCTATCACCTCCCTTTCACATTCAAAGAAAACCCTAGCCTCCTTTTTGATATTTGTAAGCTTTTGGTGTGTTTTTGTGTCTTAAAGAAAAAGGAAGAGCTTTTGGTTCATAGATCCAACTTGCAAGCCTCATTATCATCTACTAGCACATACTCTGGACCTTTGTGAGTATTCAAGCTCGAAGCTTTATGATTTTATATGCTTAGATCTAGACTATCATGCATGTTTCTCCATGTTTAGGCTAGTTGGAATGTTGGGATTCCATAAAGTTGGCAACTTTATGGATCCTCAAAGTCCCTTTATAGTTAGAAATGTTAGATCTGGAGTTTGGTATAATGAATTAAGCTGACCAGAGCAACTCCCACGACGTGGATGACTAACCTCCACGACGTGACGAGAGGTGGCTTCTCGACTGTTTTGTCATGTAGTCCCCATGACGTGGCAGAAGCCTGGCCACATCGTGGCGACCAGCTGGTTGACTGTTGACTTTAACTTTGACGATTGACGCTTTAGACTAAGTTGACTTTTGGGTCAACTTGGGGGATTTAGGACCCTACATTGAGGAAGTATTTCTATTTGATGAATAGGTTACTCGTAGTAACGGTTCTTGTCTTCTAGTGAGCCGTGTATATCTGATAGCTGGCGATGTGAGTTTTCTCATTATACTTTGTACTGCAGTATGTATCCTTGTGTGTATGATGTTGTTATGCTGTAGTGATCTGTTAGACTGGTAGATCTGATATGATTACCTATGCTTTCTTGTTATTGTTTTGTGCATATGTCGACATAGTGTGGTTGGGTTGAGGCAGTACTGCTTTGTGTTGTGGGCCAACATACTCGGGAGCGGTCCAACTATATGTTGCAGGCTGGGGAGCGGTCCAGCTTTATGCTGTAGGCTCAGGGGGGGGGGGTCCAACCTTGTGATGTAGGGCCGAAATCGAATGATTTTTTAACCCAAATTAATGAAACTAAATCATAGAAACCAAAATCAAATAAAATTTCAACCTAAAAAACTTATACTAAATATTAAAAACAAAAAACGAATGATTTTTCAAAAAAAAAAAAAAAACTGAAGTTTGTTGTTTGACATCGACATATATCGATATTGTAACGCCCCGATTCTCATGTATTGATTTAAATAAGGAATTCTTTGATTTCCAAGGTCTACTCGACGAGTTGGTTGCCCTACTCGTCGAGTAGCAGCGGATTGGTCCACGTATTTTAGTGACCTACTCGCCGAGTCCAAGAATGGACTCGACGAGTAGAAGCTGGCAGATGAAACCCTAAATTTTGGGGTATTGCACCCTATTTAAAGGATCATTGGCCTCCCCCAGCCTCCCCTTTACTGCTTCTTGTCCCTCTTAAACCCTAAATCGTTTGTGTGTGTGTGTACTTTTGGTGTGTTCAAGCTTGGAGGAGGAACTTTGGAGAAGGAAACACTTGGGGAAGCAACGAAATCAAGGCTAGGAACTCGTGGGGAGCTAAGAGATTCATCAGTTGTCACTCTCTGGAAGGTATTAAGCTGTTCCTTTAGCTCATCTCTCTTTTAACCTCTTTTGGATGGGTTTTATGAAAGGCTTCTCATGTTTAAGCTAAGATCTGAAGTTGTAACTTCAGATCTGGACTCCCTTTGACCTCTAGATCCATAAAGTCATCAACCTTGCCTAGTAGGAGCCTTCCCTCAAGTGTGAGACTTCATTGCAAGCTTAGTTTCGCCATTTAAGGGTATTAAAGCTTTACATACACGTAAAGTTTGCAACTTTACGTGATAATCAGGCCTTGGGAGGTTGGATCTGCAATATGGAGCCGCTGCATGGCTTAAAAAGTGTCTGTATGGGTGAAGGTTCGACGAGCCTCATGAAGATAGTCCTGTACTCGACGAGTTGGATGAACAACTCGGCGAGTCCAATGAAGATTGCCTTGAACTCGGCGAGTTAGTTGAATGACTCGGCGAGCCGGCTAGGGTTTTCCCAACCTTTGGACACGTACGAACGAGGCGAGTTGTAGGGGGAAACCCGACGAGTTGGCCAAGGGGTTTGCGGCCACTGACATTAGAAACTCGACGAGTCACTCAAGTGACTCGACGAGTTGGCAAGTCATGTCAGGAACTCGGCGAGTAGTTGAGGGTACTCGACGAGTTGAGGTCAACATGGACTGTTGACCTTGATAGTTGACTTTGACCTTGACTAAGGGTTGACCAGTGACTTCTGCGGGTATTTTTGGTAAATTGAATATTGATAGCAAAGGACATTTGTGAATATAGGTGTTGGAGTTGGAGTTACTTTTTGGAAGAGTTTGACGTTACCTTCCGAGCTACTTGCGAGGTGAGTTATCCTCACTATATCAACAGGGTGTAAGGCACCAAGGTCGGCCCTTTATGGATTGTATTCAGATTATTGCATGTTAGCTTACTAATTTACATTTTGGTAGTTAGGATGGTGTTATGCTTACGCTTAGTGACCCGGTTAGGTCAGTGTCCTGGTTATAGGATGATGTTATGTTAGAGACCGGTTAGGTCTGTATCCCGGTTATTGGGATGTTGTTATGATTAGGGATCTGCTAGATCGGTTGACTGTTATATAATATGAGCTAGCATATGATATTTATGAGCACATGTTTGTTTGATTGGGGGTTGGGTTGAGGCGGTCCTGCTTTGTGCTGAAGGCCAACATACCCGGTGAGCGGTCCGGATAGGCTGTAGGCCCTGCAAGGCGGTCCAGTCATGCCGAAGGCTCGGGAGCGGTACAGATAGACTGTAGGCCCTGTGAGGCGGTTCAGTCAGGCTGAAGGCTCTTTATGCATACTGTTCTGTATTTGTTATATGTAATTTGTATGGCGTTGGTATTTTGGGGGAACTCACTAAGCTCTCGGGCTTACAATTTCAGTTTATTGTTTCAGGTATACCAGGGGATCGCGACAAGGCGAAGGCGTGATCGTACAGCTCCTCATGATTTGTTTATGTTTCTGGGAAAACTCTAATATTATACATTTTGAAAACAAAGTTGTAATGATTTTAATGATTTGATATGTGTTTAAAAGTTTTAAATCGGCTGAAATTTTTGGGTGTTATAGATATAGTTGTTTATTTATAGATGACAAAAGATCATAACTTTTGATATAGTAACTTTTTCGATAAAAATAAACACTAAAAAAATAGTGGTTGCAATAGAATTTTTTTTAAAATATGGATAATTTTATACAAAACTGCACAAATGGTCCCTATGGTTAGTTGAAAATTGCCACTTTGGTTCAAAAAGGTTTGGACTAGCACCAGAGGTCCAAACTTTTCATTTGGTTGCGAGTTTGGTCCAGTTTTCTATAAACTTTTTCATAATGACTATTTTGCCCTTATTTTTTTTTTCTTTTCCAATTTTTTTTATTATTTAAATACTTTTTTTATTAAAAGAAAAAATAAAAAAGAAAATTTGCATTTTCTATTTTATTTTTTATAATTTTTTAATAACAAAATAAAAAAAATAAAAATGAAATCTCTTTCTCTCTCTCTCTCTCTAACGTAACAAATCCCTCTCTTCTTCTCATTCATATCCTACCAGTCAAAGGAGGTGGTTATCCCTCCTCCTTCTTCTTCATTTTCGAGCAAGAGAACTCCACCGGAGGTGGAGCTGTTTTCCGACCACTAAGAAACCCCCACCATCACCGGTGCCACCTCCCTCTCCTTTCCTCCACTGTTTTTTCCCTTACGAGAACAACCCACCACTCACCACCACTGTAACCACCGAAAACCACCACTCCAACCACCCACTTCCTTATGTTATGTCAAACAAACACCAACCAAAAGCCCCCGCTACTGCTGCAGTCGGAGTTCTTCCTCAGCCACCGCAAGACACCACCATCTTTAATCTTTTTTTTTCTGTTGAATTGGAACGAGCTCAAGCTCCAACCATCGCCTCGCTGCCCTCCCTCTCGTCGAGCTCGTCGGAACAGCAAGGAACGACGCAACAGAAGTCGCCGGAGCAACCCCTGCCACCACCGACACCGCTGCTGTAGAACCACCGTCGCTGATTGCTAATGTGGAACGAAGCAGCAGAAGCCACCGGAGCAACCCCATGTGTCTCCCCCTCAATTTCTAGTCATTAAACACCCCATTTGAAAACCCTAGCCCCCAAGAAACCCTAACTTTCAGATCTCGATCTCCTTTCTCTCGTGGAGGTTCAAATGAAGGGCAACAACGATCGAAGTTGGTGTTTGGGGTGGTGCTACCTGACCGGTGGGAGGCGGAGGGGCAGCCTAGGCCGACGACAACCGCCGATTTATTCTTCTTTGGCCGGTGGTAAGCAAAAAAAAAAAAGAGAGAGAGAGAGAGAGAGAGAGAGAGAGAGAAAGAGATTTTTAATTTTTATTTTTTTTATTTTGTTATAAAAAAATTATACAAATAAAATAGAAAATGCAAATTTTCTTATTTATTTTTTCTTTTAATCAAAAAAGTATTTAAATAATAAAAAAACTGAAAAAAAAATAAGGGCAAAATAGTCATTATGAAAAAGTTTATAGAAATCTGGACCAAAATCGCAACAAAATGAAAAGTTTGGACCTCTGGTGCTAGTCCAAACCTTTTTGAACCAAAGTGACAATTTTCAGCTAACCACAGGGACCATTTGTGCAGTTTTGTCTAATTTTTATAGAACAAAAAAAGCAATATTACCAATTTGACCAACATTTGCAAGTCATAGTGGTTATCATAGAACTTTTATGAAAATATGAGTGTTTTTTTAAACACAAACGAAAATTGGATGTTTAAACCAGAAAGGTGACAAATATAATGGTTTTTAGGTGAGAAATATCCAATAAAGTCACAATATTTTGGGTCAGTTTATGTATAATCTCAAATTAGTTTTTGTTTACAAAAAAAGACAAATTACTGGCTAAAACTTTGGAATAATCCTTTTTGTCCGGTTTCACAAATTTAGCCAATATTCCATCTTTTTTCGTTAATTGATCAAAATATTTGGACATTTTCTAAAGATTACTTTATTTTTTATAAATATCTGAGACTTTTCTGAAGATTACCCTTGAACTAATATATATTATTATGCTATTTTTTTACCAATAACCAAAATATTAAGACTTTTCTAAATATTACCGTTGAACTAGTTTTGGTTATTGGTAAAACATAACATAATTTTCAGAAAAATCCTAATATTTTAACCAATTAACGAAAAAATACAAGATACTGACTAAATTTGCAAAATCGACCAAAATGGATATTCCGAAGTTTTAGCCGGTAATCTGTTTTTTTTTTGTAAACAAAAATTAATTTGTGATTAAATCGTAAACTGACCAAAAATATTGAGACTTTACCGGAGATTTTCCATTTTTAGGTTATTAACTTTAGTTAAATATCCATATATCCATATTCTAATAAAAGAATAATTTTAATCTTCTTTTGCCAAGTGTCACTCTAATACAACTGATAATTAATATTATGTCATGTGTCATCTCTTAATTAATAATTTATTTAAAATAATTGTTTAATAATTATAAATTTTTATTATAAAAGTTTAATTAATTTTATAACCGTGTTTCCCACGGATTATAAACTAGTTAATATTAAATAAAAACTTTAGAATTTCTAGATCAAACATGAAAATTCGATGAACAGTTTCAAAATTTATATTTCGTTTTTTACTCTTTACTAACATATTACAAAATGGTTAGACTAAATAACAAAATACAATATAGACTTGGAGCTTAAAATTAATTAGACTTTTGATTGGAAAACAATAATAATAGATAATAATAATAATAGAGGGTTCAAAATGAAATTTTGGTATATTAGTATTACAAATTTATTACATGTTTTTCTTTTTAAAAAGAAATTTGCAAACGAAGAAAAACCAAAAAACTTCAGAATAAGTGGAATAGAACATTCGAAACTAACTATTTTTGAGAAGCTGAAAAAATAACTATTTTTTAAAAACTAAATTAAATAATTACTTTTATTAACGAGCTATTTTATAAAGTTAGTTTAATTAATATCTCTTAAATTAATAACACATTTAATTAATTAACTAATAAATATAACTTTTTAACCTATATCTGTCGTTCCCGTTGGATGCCACCAACATACTATAAATAATTAGGCATACAACGTGCCTCATTATAACGGTAACCTGGAAATTTTATGTTTTACTAAATCAAACGACTTTACGCATACTCGGTCCTCTAATCCAACGGTTGTACATACAGATGATTTGTACTTTGTAGGGCCCAGATTCTTTCGTTCGTGTAAGCATCTAACTCGGTGTCACGCTGGATCACTTCACGCGGAATCTTACGACAAGAAATAAACGGTCGTGATTTCATCTCTCCAAAAACCGACTTACACCCTGTATATAAACCCTCCTCCTCCGTATTCTCTACCACTTTCATCGTCTCCAAAATTCTCTCCATCTCTCAAACTTTATCCTCCATCTACAACACTCTCACATTCAAATTGTATTCGATTGAAATTCATAACAATGGCGTCTTCTACATATGTTATGGTGGTCTTGTTTGCTTTGATTGCTGGATCTGCGTTGGCTCAGTCACCCATCGGATCTCCAACGGTATCACCGACGGCATCTCCAACCGCGTCGCCTCCGTCGCCAGTTACAGCTCCTCCTACGAGCTCTCCGACTTCATCACCGACTGAATCGCCTTTAGCATCTCCACCAGCTCCTCCTACTCCTCTATCTCCCAGCGGCTCTCCGTCGTTGTCTCCTTCTGGCTCACCTGTTCCGACCGCTTCCCCTACTTCACCGCCGAACTCTGCTAGCTTGAACAGACTCGCCGCCGGATCTGTTGCCGTGGTTGCCTTAGCTGCTGCTTTGGTTATGTAGAGATCTTATTTTGTGGAGAGATTTTTCATGGAGTTTATTATTCTTGTGATACTTTTACTTTTGTTCAATATTTTTAATTCTTATTATTAGTCGGTTTTAGGTTATTATTCCATGTCTATTTTACTACGAGTGCATAGGCTTTGATGATTTTACTGATCATGTTATTATTGTTATATTAATGAATTCTTTCGTTATCATTTGTGCTCTTTTCAATTATTTCGTTACATTTTCTATTAGTTGAATACTTGAATTAAAACAAGAAAAAGCACCTCTAAATGTGCTGAAAATTGCTTAATTATGTTGCATTGTACAATAGAGATCTAAATTTTGTAATTTATCCAACAAATAAATTTGGAAATTAGGGTTTAATGCATTGATGACATTTTTATTCTAGTGCACTAACTTGATAAACATAATGCGTTTCCTTCATGGTTACTTTTGTGGTTGATGACGTGGAATATAATGGTAAGCTGTGTTAGAGGTGGAAAGGTGTCGTTTTGCACTAAAAATAGGGATAGTGGTCGGTCTGGTTTGGGTTTTTCTTGTGGTGTTGTGTCAGGTATGTGTGCGAAGCACAGCTGGACATGATAGAAGCCCATGTGCAAATTGCCTTTATATCTTCACAAGGAATACTTTTTGTTTAGAAGGATTAATGAACACTACTTCACTTTATTAAATTTGTGAAATAACGTTTTTATTTATTTATTTATAATAACATGTTGCCATAGTTTAAATTAAAACAAAATTACGCAGTTAATTAATTGAGTTGAATATAGTTAATGAAATGTTTAGCAGTTGTTATATTGTTTGGAAAAACAAAAGCAAACGGTAAAAGTAGGAGTTATTTGATACATTTCTAAGGATTTTGATTTGTTTGTAGATCGTTTAACATGTTGAACAAAATATACTTGAACGTGCTGAATGTTGATTGATTCATAGGTGAGTTAAATTACCAAAAATTTACACGACCATGATTATAATGATGACCACGTCCACAACCACGCGTATTATCACGTACATGATTATTGTTTTGGCTAAAATGACAACGACCACATCCCTTCTACGGATATTCTTCTTAGGTTCACGAGTATTAGTAACATTTACTTCAGGAAGTGCTACTGAACCTGCTGCACGGGACTCATGATTTTGTTATCAATAGCTCATTTTTTTCAGCAACAAGGAGAAACATATTAAGTTCAGAATACTTTTTGAAATTTTGCAACCGATATTGTTGTTATAAGGTCATATTTGATGCATGGAAAGTAGAGAGAGTTTTCTCTAACATTACGGCATCAGGAACTTCCTCTCTACAAAACTTGAGTTGTGAACATAATCTAAACAAGACCGAATTATAGTCATTTACTTTTTTATAATCTAGAAACCTCAGTCACATCCACTCATCCTTAGCATTTTGATGCATAGCTTCTTTTTTATGATCAAATCTTTCTTTGAAGTTATTCCAAAGAATGTTTGGTTCAGTGGTATTGAGGCATTCATATCTTAGTATTTCATCCATGTGTTTACGAAAGAAAATGATTGCTTTTATTTTGTCTTAAAGAGAACAAAAATTTCCTTCCACTATTGTTTCCGAAATACCTATTGACTCAAGATGCATTTTAGCGTCTATGGTCTATGTCATGCAGTTTTTCCCACTGAATTCTAGAGCAGGAAATTCAATCTTCGCAATGTTGGACATGTTGTGACTAAATATTTTGAAATAGAAAATAAGAACAAGATAAAAATTAGAATCAATTTATTTCAATAAATATTACACAGAAAAGGAGGTATGTCTATCATTCATACAAACCTAAAAGTAGATGAAATTTCATATTATTTTCGATGTTAAGGACTGGAATGAAAAAGTAACATGACTATTATAGTCATGATTATCATAAAATGGTGAATCATCTTGAACTTGATTTTTTGAAATTGATTTTTTTGATAGAAGAGAAAAATATTTGTTATGGTGAAAATAAGAAGTGTAGAAATATTTATTTATAGTAAAAAAGATATATTTATTTATAACCGTTGGGTATATATCCGTTATATATTTATATTTATATCCATTTTGTATGTAGTAAAATATAAAAAAAATTTAGTAAGTATGAAAATTATATACAAGATTAGAATGTATAAATAAATGTTAGTATACGAAAATAAAATGAGTATACATAAATAAATAAATGTTGGTTGCATACTTCAAATGTTATTATGCATACATAAAAGTCAGTTGCGTAATGTAAATGTTAGTATATAAATAAAAATTAGTTGCATAATATAAATGTTAGTATAAATAAATAAAAGTTAGAATACATAAAGAAATGTTGGTATTAGAAATAAAATTTGTTAGTAGTCCTTAATGTCCATAATAGATAAGTTCTATTAAATTATTATTATTTTTATTATAGTGGTGGTTTAATAATTTTTTACTAAATAATACATACCTTGATTAAAATTAATATGGTTTCCACTTGTTTAATCACTTTGATTAGAACTTTCGTGATAACGTGTTATAAATTAAGTATAATTAAGGTAACTATAAACCAATCCAAACTAGTAACTTTGATGAGAACTTTGATTGAAAAAAAAAGATTTAGAGAGAATATATGAAAGTTATATCACTTATGAAAATGTAACTTTAGATGTATTTCACCCTTTACAATGCAGGTGCATATATACTACAAATTTTACTATTCATAATCTAGATATAACTGTAACTAGTTAGAAATGTTGACAAATTTACCATGCATAAATTATTATGACATCCACTAATTATTTATGACTATATATATATATATATATATATATATATATATATATATACATATATATATATATATATATATATATATATATATATATATATATAATCTAAATATAACTGTAACTAGTTAGAAATGTTGACAAATTTACCATGCATAAATTATTATGACATCCACTAATTATTTATGACTATATATATATATATATATATATATATATATATATATATATATAATATATATATATATATATATATATATATATATATATATGGTCCGGATCCGGTAGAACCCAAAAATTGGTAGAAACCGCGATTACTATTCTCTACCAATTATTTCGTCAAGGGCACAAACGTCAAACTCATTTACTTGGTCGTGACTCATTCGCACGCGGCGCACGTGTATGGAACGTTATACGGACTCGAGGGAATAATCATGCGCGACGAATGTCCATGGAACATTATTTAAATGGGTTTTTCCTTTTCTTTTTCATTATTTTGGTTTTTTTGTTTTATTATTATTATTTTTTATTTTTCATCAAAAAAATTCAAATTTTTTCTTAAATAGATATATGCCGGCTTTTAATGTTTTTATATTTTTTTTATATATTTTTTTAATTTTTTTTAATTTTTTTTCATTTATTTAAAAAAATTATTATTATTTTTTTTTCGTTTTTTTTTAAATATCTTTACTACATACTTGAAGATAGTAGAGTTTTTTTCTTTTTTTCTTTTTTCTTTTTTCTTTTTATTTTTTGATTTTTTTTGATTTTTTTTGATTTTTTAAATTAAATATCGGTTTGAGTTTTAAATGTTTAACAATTATAAAATTGTAAATAAGAATAATATTAAGGATCATAATATTTTCCATTCATACTTTTTTTTTGAATCATATTGTTTTTGGATCATAAAATTTTGAATCATAACGATATTATGCACCATATGTAACATCCCAAAATTCAAGACCAAAATTTCGTTTTAATTAAGTTATTATATAAACCAACATTATAAAAACATTCATATTAATATCTCATGTCAAAACCAAAGTATCAATAATCAAAACATATTATCATAAAACCATATTAGAGTGTAATCCCAAAGATCTCATGTGCGGAAAACGTAGTGTGATGCGCTGTGATCAAGCCGACTCCTTTCCTTTGAAAACGAGTACCTGAAACCAAAACTGTAAACCGTAAGCACGAAGCTTAGTGAGTTCCTTCATCATACCACATACCATACAATCACATATTGCCAGGCATATCTGGGTGCTCGACCTACCCTGCTGAGCATACCGGGGTGCTCAATCTACCCCACTATCAGGCATACCGGGGTGCCCGACGTACCTCATGTCAGGCAAATCTGGGTGCCCGACCTACCCCTTCGGTATCTTTCAACCGGTAACCGGGAGCTTGCCTCCCCTTCTGTATCTTTCAACCGGTAACCGGAGACTATTTCACCCCTACCACTACCACATAAACCCTAGCATATATACATAAATCACATACTGCCTAGCATATCTAGGTGCTGGCCTACCCCTTCGGTCCTGTCGACCGGTAACTGGGGAATATTTCACCCCCTACTACTACCACATAATATCATATCACATATATCATAATCTGTCTAGCATAGCTGGGTACTAATCTACCCCTTCGGTCGACCGGTAACCGGGGAATATTTCACCCCTACTACTACCACTATCACATAACATCATATCATGATAGCACATAAAACATAACAGGTAGCAGTAAACGTAGATGAATATCACAAAGACAATCATCTAACATACAACTCCTACTAGTGGGCCGACATTGTGGCCGTAGACCCACCGCTACCGGAAGGTAACTCACCTCACACTGCTGAAGTCCCGTAGACACAACCCCACACTGCTGAAGTCCCGCAGACTCAATCCCAGCTGTTGGATGACAGATTCCCAAACTGTCAACACCAAAATAACACCCAATTAATAATTAGGTTCCAACACATAAATCATAAGTCCATGCTTGGGGTAAAAGACTACTTTACCCCCATCTTAGCTTGATTCAAGCTCAAGGCCCAACATATGGCCCAATTTTCCAAATTGGGCTTAAACCTCTACATGGTCTCACGCTAAGGCCCAACCATTTATTCCAATCCAACCTTTGACATTCTACTGGCCCAATATCATATAATCATTAAGGCCCAAATTATGGCCCATCTATGGCCCAACTTTCCAAATTGGGGCCAAACTGTGACAACCCGA